GGTGGTCAGCCAGGTTTTAGTAACGGCAACAATGTCAAATCGATTAGTTTTCCAACGAAGTTCCATCTCGGAGAATTTGCCAAGGTAATCTCGTGCATTGGTATAAAAACATGAAAGATATATTCGACAAAGAAGTCTATCTGGTTATGTGGCGTTGTTCCTGCCGACCAACTTGGGGTCGGTTAAATGTTTTTTGTAGAATTGGTTTCGTCGGTGCTGCTTAGTGAACGTGGAGTGATAAAAACCGCACTAGTGGAGGAAGGTGGCGTGTTAGTATCGGTTGCCGTTTTCGGACTTTGCTGGGATCCAGTATTATGTAATAGTCTTAGGCGTAATTCCGGCGGACCCCTTTTTCTATTATCTTTCCACGACTGCAATACGAAGTTGGCCATTTCTGACATTCCGAGGGTTACTTTCATTATCTTCGGGCCGTTCCCGTGGTAGTTCGGTGAGCTAGGTAGACGACTAATTGCCGTAGTAAGAACCTGGGTACAAACTGATAGGCGCCGAAGTTTACCAATGTAGTTGTGGATTTGGGTTGACCAATGAAGATTGCTACCTATGTTTACACCAGAGTTCCTACACTAGGTTTGTGAGTGAAGGATGTGACACTCCTACCTAGACAATGTCTATTCTTTGCACACAGAAATTGCGTTCACCTTATCCCAGTTTTCAGTTATTTGTATTTCGGAGTGAAGAAAATAAAAGCAAACAATCAAAGATAAACTCTGGGTTAAGCAAAAATTATTGTCACTTTATAAGGTTGAGCTCACTTTTTTGCCTGCAACGTTCGCGAACCAGTTGGCAGCATTTGCAGATTGCTCACAAATAAGACAATAATGTTTCAAGGGCGTACTCAACATACCAACATGCCATAGGGGAAGAAAAGGTCATTTCCATGGTTTCTGTGATTGGATTACTGCGCTCATAGTCGCTGATTAGCTCGGGGACTAGATCCGGTGGATCCTCTGAAACAATAAACACCGCAGCGAGTGTAACAAGGAATACCTTCCAGTCTTGAAGTGATGTTTGACATGGTGGTATCAGAGGCGGCCGACATGATTCGCCTGGTTTCCTCCTCCGGTTGGCGCCATACGGTAGTAGGTGACCAACCACTACGATTAGTTTGGTTTGAGCTCATAGCGAATTCAACGAATGACGGGGATCTACATAATTAAAATTAAAAGTTGAATTTCAAACTATCTGAAACACGATAGTGGGTGCAACAAGGGATCAAAAATGGGCGTTTATAGGAACGGCATTAACCCCTCAAAATGGACGCGGTGATTCGAAACAGTGTTTAGCGGATTAGATGCTGACAACTGCGATAAATGTGGCTGAATACCATTGATCGAATGTTGTAAGAAGTGGTATGCGAATGAATGGACAAAATTTCTCTGGAACAACAAGACCGATTTTGAGGTGGTTCATTACTTGGGATAAGTCCTTGAAAACTATGAACCATGTCACCGATCAGCGATTCGTAATGAAAATACACATATGCGGTTTAAACATATGAGACACAAGTGGGGCCGTCGCGACATTCGGTTGTCTGTGAAGGGTCGAGTGTATGCTGCAGCAGTTGGGCCAGTCCTGCTCTACGGTGCAGAGACTTGGCCTTTACGAGAACCGGATAGAAATAGATTATCGGTGCTCGAACACCGCTGTCTATGTCACATTTCACGAATCTGTTGGGGTAACCGGACGAGCAATGCTGAGGTTAGGCGTAGAGTTTTAGGCATTCGCGGTCGTCCACTGGAGCAAGTGATCGACCTTCATGGATTCTGCTGGTTGGGGTGTGTTACGCGTACCACCAGATAGGTTGCCGCAGCGAGCGATATTTGCCAAGACTGGTATCGGTTGGAACAAGATCAAGGGTGGTCAAACAAAGACCTAACATGAGGGTATAAAAACCCTTACTAGGAGACTAGGTCACATAGGTTCCGTTAGGATCCTTGGCTGAGGACCTTGGGATGATGGTCACCGATGGTTAGAGACACTGAGTGATATGACTGGATGTCGCAAACAGTGGCACGCGCGCATCCACTCATTATTCCTCTATCACTATTCTATGTGAATTTTTCATCTTCCGCTTGAATTAGCTTTCAACATTCCAATCTTCATTCTGCTCTTTTATCCTAATGAGGCACCAAAAGACAGCAACCAAAACCGGCGCACGAAAGTGTATGGTTAATGGTTGTAAAAACTTAACAAACATACGAGTGACTAGGTGAGAAATTACCAGTTGCCTAAATTACTCCTCGTCGGGCCACCGCGAAGTATGTCTTACCTTAGTACCCACGCTGAAAACCTATTTCTCATCAGACGGGTGTATTATATATGTACATGTACAATAAATAACAACACTTAACGTTCACTTTATCGTTATCATGCCNTCATGCCCACGAGCAGACTGGGTTTTGTGCCTGTCGTGGTTGCATTGATCAAATCTCCGCCATCCAACAGTTGCTAGAGCACCTTTATGCTTACCACAGACAAACGATCATTGTGTTCCTAGACATTCATGAAGCCTTCAACTCTGTCGATAAGACCGCACTATGGAACTCTCTTTAGAAATGGAGTACCTGAGAAGTGTCGACACTAGAAGAGTTGTATAGTCATACTTCAAGTTGANGGGTCTATGGTCAGTTTTCGCCACCTTTTGCTGTCTCCAGTGGAGTTAGACAGGTGTGCCCTATATCCTCATTCCTCTTCGACTTCGGCATAGAGGATGTTCTGCAGGACGATTCGTCCGGTTTAACAAACGGTGGAGTCGGATTCCTCCCCGGGAACAGAGCTTCTGGTTTAGAATATGCCAATGGCATCGCCTTGCTGGGCGATGATGCACAGACAGACCAACAAGCTTTAAACCACTTAGTGATAGGGGTACCTAGGTATGGTTTGTGCTATGCGCCATCCAAGTACAGAGTGCTTGTTCAAGACTGACAGCTACCTGTGCCCGTATTTATTATTTCTGGCGATCACATAGAAATGATCGAGAGCTTAACCCTAGCTCAAAGTGGGTTTTGGGGAAGGGATCACATTACGAATAACGAAAGCTAGAGCAGCTTTTGCCAACCTGCGACACCTGTGGCGCCGCCATGATATCCGACTGTTCCTTAATGGAAGGGTGTACATTGCCGCGGTTCGTAGTGTTCTATTTACGGCCGCGAAACCTGACACCCCGAGCGGAAGATGCTAATTGACTTTTCGTATTCGACTACCGATGCCTTCGTAGAATTGCTTTTGTCTGGTGGTAACACCGGATGATCAATGACGAGGTTCGTCGTCGTGTTCTGGGTATTGATAATCGTTCTCTAACGAAAGTAATCGTTCCACACCGCTTCCGATGGCTCAGTCATGCTTTGTGTGTGAATACCCATCGACAACCTGCCGATCCATCTCAACTTTATGGTGCGCATATATGCTGGCTGTCCCTCGACTGATTCTGACTGTTCCCGCCAACTTCAATATTGTCTCAATCAAATTAGTGGTCCACGCCCCAAATCATCATCATCATCGTATAGGGAAATACAGTGAGGCGAACTTCACTGATCTCTGCCAAACTCGCAATGCGTACAAGGTTAGTGGTAAAATTTAATATGGACAGGGATGGGACCTATTTTGAGGGAGGAAGAACGTGAACATGTATGTTCAACACACAGAGTACGCAATCGAACTCTGCATACATACCGTTTCAAGCACTGTGGCCTGATAAGAAACGACAACAAGAATGCCACTGATGCCGGTTCGCTGCTATATCCTTCAGTATTTCCAACCAACCACTTGTGGAGTCTTTCGGACCCCAACATGGAACGCGAGAGACAGCTACTCTACCTGATGGCTCTATGCACTTCTTCATGCCTCGTCTCCACGTCATCTGTTGATCTCCACGCCGTTTCTTCCAGCCCGGATTAACTACAGCGAATAAAGCGCGGTGCGGCAGACGATGGCGGGGCATACGCAATACGTGCCCTACCCAGAGAAGCCTACTAATCTGAATTCGGTGTGCCAGTGGGTTTATACCTGATAGACACCCAAACACACGACGGTTTACCTTCACGTTACTAACCCGTTCGCTCCATCCAAACTGAGCTAACCTGCGTAAACACCGATAATCGAAAAATTATAGTCGACGGATATCTTCTACTCGCAAATTCAGGGTCTCACAACCATAAAGCAGGACTGAACGAACGCTAGCACAATATACCCGACCTTTCAACTTCAGTGAAACGTCGCGTCTACGCCACAGGTGTTTCAGTCTTGCGTATGCTGCTCGAGCCTTGGAAACGCGGGCGGTTATCTCCTTTGCTGCGCTACCGTTATTCGTCACGCAACTACCTAAGTAGGAAAAATAATCCAACATAACTAAATCCTGACCATTTAGTGTCAGAGTGGGAGTAGACGAAACCCAGTCCTGCAGCATCTTTTTGCACTTTGAAGGTGCAAAGCACATACCGAATGAGGCTACTGCACCTGTTAGTCTATCAAGTGCGCTTTGTGCGTCCTCCATACATTCGGACAGACAGACGACGTCCTCGGTGTACTCAAAATCGCACAGCTTTTCTCCAGCTGTCCATTCAATACCTACGCTTTGGGGTCCCCTTAGTGCGTTCTCCAGTATTTCGTCTACGACGAAACTGAACAGGAACGACAAAAGAGAGCATCCTTGACGGATGCTGCTGCTGGTAACCTATTTAGCTGGTCTGCTTAGTTTGCTGTCAACCCTTACACAACCAGAATCCTGAGTACAGTGACCGCGGTAGGTTAACGTACTTATGAGGCATTCTTTTTCGAAGAAGGGAGCCCATCAGAGCTTCGCAATCAACTGAGTCGAAGGCTCTTTTCAGGTCAAGGATCGTTGGCCGACGGTGGGTGTGACGCAGCTCAAGGATCTGACGCAACGTAAAAACTTGATCAATGCATCCACGGTCANTCACGACGAGACTGCACCTTGACGTAGTGTGATGGCTTGCGCGCCTCAGTGACCCTGTGAGCTACACAGGATGGCTTCTCACAGCCGTAGATCCAATCATGCCTGAAAGGTCAACGGGTAGAGGCCAGCTACTTGGGCACCTCCTGGCTTCCTTCCTCTATCCACACCCGCCCCTGGAGAGGCCGTTCCAGCAAATAAATACGGTGAGGGGCAGTTTACCGGTCAAAAAACCCCCGCTAGATGGACCACCTGGGGCTTCCTCTCGACGGTGGGAGAAGTCTTCGCACTTCATTGGACAGCTACCGCCCAGACTTCCTCTCGACGGTGGGAGAAGTCTTCGCACTTCATTGGACAGCTACCGCCCAAGCTGAGCAGCCCCCAGCCAATAAGGTGCTGTCCCGTCCACGT